TGCCTATGGGGAAAACATCGCAAAGCGATTTTTCCCCATAGGCACCTTCGTTATACGATCGCAAAAGCAATGGCATTTTTGCCATCGCTATGCAAATTCGTTGTTAAACGGGGCACTCGTTATACGAGGCACCACTGTAATAGATTTTAAACCTATAACCATTTTTTTCATTTAAAATATATGGGTGCTTTTTTATCTTATCAATGGATTGTCATATTTTCTGCTATTCTTATAGTGGATAAAATTCATCTATTCGATACTTTTAACCCAAATTGTTCCTTCTAACCCTCTTCTGAACAGAGATTTGCAATTAGCTGCAGCAGGTTATGCAAACTGTGCAAATACCAGTAGGATTCTAGACCATATTTGTTTTCCTAATATAGGTTGGAATTCCTTATGAAGGCAGATAAGTGTCATCATGATTTCTCACCATTTTGTCTGAATGTCAGGTTGCTTTGTCTTCCTTCTTTTTCCTCTCTGCATCTTTAATTGTAGTCTTCACTGTTTGGAGCGTGGAGCCTTTTCAGTATAATGAATATTATTATTTTATTTGTATTGGAGCGTAGAGATTCGAGCACATTTTACAACATTGTTCTATCCAAGTATATAAACCACTGCCTTTTACTCTCCAGAGATGTGAAAACAGAAGGTGGGAGGCAGTATCATTCTACAGCAGGAGTTTGTCTGAAAGATATAGTTGGCCTTGAAGGTGTGGAATTAGGAGCTAATGGGAAGGTAAGGATATGTATCCTTCTGCATTGTAACCAACTGAGCTAGATTTCCCCTTAGATTATAATTTTAAGGCGTATGAAAAATCCATTGTGCTCTTGTGCTTTTAGAGAACATTAGTTTGTGAACAGCTGGTACATTTTAGGAACATAGGAAGCTCCCTTGTATTGAGTTAGACCATTGGTCCACATTGCTCAGCACTGTCAACTCTCTCTTGCAGTGACTCTCTAGAGTTTCAGAAAGGATAGCACTTCCTAGGTGGAGAGCCACAGGACTCCTAATGGTCTCCTAGCCAAATACTAAATGATCCCCAAATCAGACAATATCAGACAACTGTTCAGGATGGTACTGTGGTTGAGAATTTTGGAATATTCCGCTTGTTTACTTGTAAAGATAAAATCCTATACCCATTTATCTGGGATGTAATCCCCATGGAAGTCAGTGGCATTTCTTTCTGAGTAGACATGTATAGGAGTGCACATTGAAAAAACTTATTTCTGCAGATGGGCTCTCTATTTCTAATTAATTGTTTTTGTAGAAGAGTGGAATTAACCATGCATATTTCTTTTTCCTTTTGCATAGACTGTTTCTTATACCCAGTTTCTTTTTCCAACCAATGCCTTGGGAGCACGGAGAAACACCATAGACTCCACCTCATCCATCTCACAGTTTCGCAATGCAAGCCATCGTAGCCTTTCATTGGGAAGGGCTAACAGCACCCAAGGAAGTATTGATGCAGGTAACATTTTAGAATATGTGCACTTTGAATCCTGAGTCAGATCTTCACTCTGGAGAAATACAGCAATGTTATCTTCAGGCGTTTTCCAGAAATGTTCCTCTTTGCTCCCTTTCTCAGTCCTGTGAGATCCAGCTACCGCATAACTCACAGGACCTACAGTAGTTCTATATGTGTGGCACCCTCCCTGCTGTGCTGTCCTAGAGCAAATATAGTTTTTTCACCTGTGCTGCAAGCTTGCTGAATCTAGTACAGCCATTTATACTTTAGGCCTTTTAGTAACATTGATCTGTTTCTAGTAAGCAGTATATCCACTGAACTTAAACATCATACTGTCTTCATTAAAATCCATATATTACTGTATAACTCTGCATGTAGAAAGCCTCCTATTCTTTCTCACCCATGTCTGCTAGCTGGTTTCTTTAATAAAACATGTTGCTTTTGTTGTTTAATTTGTTTTGCTTTAGCGCTTGAAGCTATCTTTCCCATCCTTAAGCTGTCATTGGAGATTGCATCAACATTCACACCCCAACCCACTCTCAAAAAGTTTGAAATACATACTTCTAAGTATGTAGCAAAAAGCAAAGCTGAGGGCATTGTTATATAATTTGACTGTAAGTGTGTCTTCTGTTGTTTTATGCCTCTTGCATGATCTCATGCAGTTGCTTGCTTTCATTGATCTTCATAGGCAGTGACTTGGGAGATTATACTGAATACAACCCTAATCTTTTAGATGATCCTCAGTGGCCCTGTGGGAAGCACAAGCGGGTGCTGATATTCCCTTCATATATGGTGAGTAATGTTGGGAAGATTAAAGAAAAGTTGCACTTCTGTTATAGCCTTTTGAAGGCTTCTCATTGGGTTGAGAAGTTAAGACTCACTAGAAAAAACAGTAACTCTGGGAAAAGTTGAAGGCAGTAGGAAAAGGGAAGATAGATCGTCTCTGTAAATGAAACCACAGTCTTTATTTTGCAAGAGTTGAGCAGGGGTCTGAATGTTAGGCACCAAACAGAAGATAGATCGTCTCTGTAGATGAAACCACAGTCTTTATTTTTCAAGAGTTGAGCAGGGGTCTGAATGTTAGGAGATCATTAATTCTTTGAGAACTACTTGGCAGCATATAACAACAACAACAACAACAACAACAACAACAACAACAACAACAACAACAACAACAACAACAACAACAACAACAACAACAACAACAACAACAACAACAACATCGGGAAAGTTATATAGATGCAAGGAAGAGCAAATTCTTTTTTGATACTTTATTTTATACAAAATGTGAAGTTTGTTGATGGATGCATTTATTTTAGTTTATTTTTAAAATATAACCTCTGTTTCTCCTTATAGCACACAAACTGTCATTTTCTTTATTCTGTGGGCCTTTCTATATTTTGTAGTAAGGTGCATTTACTGTTCAGATAACAATTATTAGGAGAACCGTTAAGACTTTGCAATGTTCCCCGTGCAATGAAACCCATGATGAAGAATGTTTTATATGTTAATCTCAATTTGCTTTCAAGACACCATAACATAGAAGCAAAAATTAGACTTCTGCTCATGTAATTAACTGCTTGTGTTATGAACCACCAGTTCTACTGTGAGGTTACTGTCAGCATGCAGGAACCATATGGAAAGTTAAATAACATTGCAAATTGGCTTTCTAGCAACAGCTATGTTGGTGGACTAATATGTATCAGTTTGGAGAACCCCATCTGTACTAAACATCACCTTGTTCTGCATTTCTGGTTCTTACTCTTTACTGGATTTGATCATCTCGACTCCTCTTTCTCTTGCGTGTTTCTGAACTTGAACACATTTGCAGTGAGACTTTTTCAGCATAACTATAGATACAGTACCGTAAGTATACTACAGGTTAAAATAAACACACTGTTTACTAACCAATTCAAATATTAAAGGGGGTAGGAAGATGCAATATTTTTTAACATTAGAATAGGTATGTGGGCAAGAGGAACTTAAGCC